ATTTTTTTTAGAACTAAAGCATAAAATTTCATTTGCTTTTCAAATATGACCCCACACACACAGAATTGTCATACTTGTAAGTTTAAGTAAATTCATGATGAAGATATAAACTTAAATCTTAAACTTGTAAAATTTTACTTATATGAATAGCCATTAAAATATATGATTAAATAATTGAAATACAAAATAAACCATAATTTAATTTAAATATATTTTAAATATAAATCATTGAAAATCAATCTATGTACAAGTTATCATACTCAACATAAAATTTTCAAATTTAGGAAAACTTATCTTTTATATTTGTTGTGTTCTTTTTTATTAATATTAGTTCTTTTTTTAAGTTTTATTTTCCTTTGAATTGGGTCCTACCTTTTTTACAAACAGAATTTCACATAGATTAGTCTTTTTTTAAGTTTTAATTTCCTAACTAGGTAAAAAATCAACGATTTTTAAGAGTTTAATCGAATTTACATCTAATCCTAATTCATGATTAGATTAACAAAATTTTATAAGTTGAAAATGTAAAAGATAAACTAGGAGTGTTAATTTAAAAGTTGAGAAAATAGCATTTAAGGACTGCTAATGAAAATTTACATCAATGAAGAATTAATTTTTGTCAAATTTTGGATGATTATTTGTTAATTCAGATTAGTCTTTTATCAATAAATATTCATTTAATTTTTAATAACAACTCATTCTAAATTAATAATAATCCATTAGGGTTTATTTTTCATTCAATAAATATTTTTAAATTATAATACTTTGTAATAAAATATTTTTATCACGAAAATATTCAATATGCGATATCTGTCACAACCAATTAATATTAAATCTTTGTATATCTATTTTAAATTCATTTACAAAAAAATTAAATAAGTTGGGTAGGGCATGAGGAAATAAGCGTTCAAAGCCTCGTTATGTATAAAGTACGCATGAATGATTATAGGTATTACCTGTATTTAGGATTGCATAAAAGACAGAACGACACTGGATCTTATCCTAATCTGAATTTTAGTCTCTTTCATGAAAAGGATTGGGTTAGATAACTCGTAGTCCAATGTTGTCCAGTGATAACCCATAGATTAATAAAACCGAACTTGGTCCATAGGACTGAAAGATTAGTCCTGTCAGTCCAGTACTCACTTAGATTTTTTTTCTTTTTATTCTATGAGAGGCAATAATTCATTTCAATATAATAAACTCAATTAAGATAGTAAAAATACTTATAATAATAATAAATTCATAATTAATTCCACCAATAAGAAAAAAATATTTCTGTTATAATCCAAATGATTTAAATTTCTAACTTTAACAAAACCAACATTCAATAAAATTTAACAACACTACATTACAACAAAAATTTTATAATCAAACTCAATAAATTTTCATACAATTATCTCCTTAGCATTAATTACACTTCAAACATTTTTCAAAAATAAATTAATTATAATTATAATAAAAAAATTAATAGGGATGGACTGGATCAAGTGGTCTGAATGTCTGGTCTCTTGTCCAGTCCAACCCAAAGAAATGGTTTAGTCTTTTCAATCTTTTTGATCCTGAAGGACCAGTGTCTATATGGACCAAACAAAATTGAGACCATCTCAGGTTGGACTGGGCTAGACAGAACTGGAAGACTTTTGCATAGCCTACCTGTATTAGAGAAGAGAAAGATTTTTACTGTTCTTTTTAAAAGGATTACGATGGAATTTAATAAAATTAAATAATCAAATCAAAATTCAAATATATGATTAATAAAAATATAATTTGTGCATAATTTTGAATTAGAGGAAGCAAGTGGGCGATTCATTTTTTTTTTTTTTTTTACTTATGTACATTAGTGGATCACACATTATACGTTGGTGGATCAATGATGATGCTTCGTGTTTTCTGCCTAACTCACCTTTATGTATTATACATATTCGTGGTGGTATGGAAAAAGTGATTGTCTTGGGGACGATGAGATTTGTATTTTTTGTATTTTTTTTTTTGATTTTCCTCCTACATTTCTAATTAGTCTTAAATTATTTGTTTATTATATATTTTTGAAAATTCACGTTCATCCTTAAAATCAATTGTTGGATTCATTATCATCCATCAATTTTATTTGTTTCATTCTAATAATTTTGTCCATAAATAAATTCATATAATTTTCTTTTGTTTTCCCTTTCTTTTGCGTTGGACCTATATTAATTTGTTTGGAAATGTTAATTAATTAAAAAAGCAGACCGGATGGCTTATATTTTAAACATGCATGCTTTATTATGCATGATTGCCATTTGAAGCATCCACGAGGTGGAATATAATTATGGCACTCTCCATAGCTGGGAGGATTAATTCAAGCTAGAGCTTTCAGAATCTGAGGTTTGTAAAAGGACGCTGTGATCAGAATCAATTCGCAAAAGTTGCTCAGTTCGTGTTCATCTTCATTAGTAGGGATTTAATTTGGATCTTAGTTAGTGCATGATGTTGGCTCTTCACTACCTGGGGTTGTAGCATGTTCTAAGGATTGGGCTTTTCGCCTGTTAAAGTGATACGTGAGCTGGGTTTATAACATTGTGAGATAGTTCGATTCATATCCGGTGTGAGCGTTAAAGCACCGAGAGGACCTTTCTTTAGTATGAGAGGACTTGGAAAGACGCACCTCTAGCATGTCAGTTATTGTGTCCATGGTAAACGCTTTACACAATCATGATATTGAAGCTTGTTATGCTTTGCATGGAGTCTGAAGCTAGCCATGGATCGAGAAAGAAGGGATTGAAAGGGCTGACCAGAAAGACGGATATGGAAGAAGGACGAAGAAAGAAGGTTTCAGGTGAAGTTCTAAACCTTTTTTTTTTTTTAACTTCTTCCTTATATATATTTCCTTTTTCATGAGATGTGTTTTAGCTTATGTGCGTAGAAGACACAAGCTTTAGTTTTATATATTTTTTCTTTAATTATTGTTGTTTTTGCCTTCTGTTTTGTGTTTTCCAAAGAGGACAAAAACTTTAAAGAGGGTTGAAGGAATATAATTGTGATGTTAATTCAAAAGTTTAGTTAATTTCTCTTTCCCAAAAAAAAAAATAACTATGTTATTTCGAAACTTCTAGGAGAATAATACACGAATCAAAAGTTAAAGATGATATTAATTATACACCTAGTAAAAACTTTCACGGGCAAATAATTTAATTTCCTTTTAACTCCATGTTGAATTGGTATGAAACTAGGTTCCTTTAATTTTTCAGCTTTAAAGAGATTGAGATATGATCATTATAGTCCTCTTATACACTTACACATAAGCCAAGCAGTGTCTCGCACGCGCGCGGGGGATTGTGTTCACGGGCTTATGCATAAATTCATTGTATATACAGAAATTCGGGCTTCCTTGTCTAGTTGAACTAGCCAATAAACTATTAAATTAATATCTTGACTGATTTAATAAAATATTTTATTTATGATAGATAAATTTGATCATGTTTCAATTATAATTTTGATCACTATAACCTTTGAACTAATATTTTGATCGATTCAATAATTGATCCAACACCGTGTTTATATATATTCTTCATCTTTTTCTTGCTGTGTTTTTTGTTGGTGTTTGAGATAAAAGATTGCCCTTAATTGTATCTCTAGTTTTTTTTAAAAAAATCATGAAAGTATATGCCGTGTGTCTCTTTTCTCTATATGGAATGGCTAGGTTAGGGATAACAAAAAAATAGAAGTAAATGACTAGGAGAATTCTAAATATCCAAGCTATGCTACATCCTACGTGGCCAACCGTTAGCATTTGTTAGCCAAAGATAAAAATAAAGGACTCGGCATTGCTCTGCTAATGCCTTGCTCCTCCGGTGCTCCACTGCGCAGCAGTAGAATTTGAACTGTCTAAATTTAATATTTTATTTTTTTTATTTTTATTAAAATAAGAAACAATAATAAATAAAGGGTTTTAATAAATCTAGTTATTGAAAAATCTAAATTTAATATTAACAATCCAATTTTTTATAATGAAAATATTTTTTCAAAAATATTAATAGATATCTGTATTGTTCGTAATATATTTGAATAGTCAATCTATAAAATTTTTAATATTAAATCTAAATTATTCATATTAAATTTGCACTATTTAGAGTATATATGCTTGGATAATTAATTTATAAAAAATTAAATATTAAATTTATATAATTAATATTAAATCTAGTCTATCCAAATTAGTAACCAAATTTATTAAAAACCTTTATTTTATTAAAATAAAAAATAAAATATTAAATTTGGATGATTCAAATTTTGTTACCGTGCAGTAGAGCCTTGGAGGGGCAAGGCATCAACGGAGCAAAGCGGAGTCCAAAAATAAAAGGGCTCCCTCCAACCTCCGTCAATCAACTCAGGCGAGCCCTCAATTTCTTCTTTACTTTATCTTTTTTATATTAAAAAAAAAAAAAGCCACCTACACGTGAGGCCAGCAAAACCCAAACCTCCTTTGAGTGCGGAGCAGCAAAGATTAATGCACAGCTAGCTATGAATGCATGTGTTTCTGGAACAACTCAAGAATAACTTTTATGGAATGTTTGAATTAATGAGAATTTGCTTATGAATTTGAACTAAATTTTTCATTTAGATACACAAAGGATTATGAATTTAAATTTAATTTAAATTTAAATTTATTTTAAATTATAATTTCTTTTAAATTTCAAACTCTATTTGCACTCTAGTTATTTAAAATTCTAATAACTTCAAACATTTTATTTTCTTTACATTTTTATTATTAATACATATGTAAATCTCGTATCTTTTCTTATTTTTTATCAATTAAGAATATAAATAAACTTGTCATTCTTAATTCTTCATTTTTATTTTAAATCTCAGTTTATCTTTTTTCTTTATTTGAATTTTTTTAAACTACTAAAACAAAATGTTTTAAATATATAAGTTTTAAGTGCGAATCTAAAATTTAAATCAAAATTCATAAATTCAAACACTATATATTATTACCTGTTGCCTGTTTAAAAATTTTACGAGAGTCACTTCTTCATCACATTACATTTTCTCTTATGCGATCCAAAATGGTGCCACTAATTTGTGTCACCTAAATTATATTTGTGATTATATATTCTTGTGAGCTGAGCACTTTCATTTATGGATGTACCCCAGTTTTAGGCGGAGGCATGCCTCCAATTAAATAATACATAGCTATATTAATTTTCTTTCATACAAAAAATATGTTGGCGATCGCGTACATATATAGGTGTTACGAGATAACTAAAGAAGTGAATCTAAACCCTTGTCTTTGACTGAAGAAATTTGTAATTTAGTTTCATATTTGTCCCTTATTGCTGCTTCATCTTTTGACAGTTATAATTAATATATGGTGGATTGTCCCAACTGTAAACTTTATTTCTAATAATATGTGGATACTTTATACCCCTTAAAAATAGTAAGGGACAACATCAACCAACCGATCGAGGTTCAGAAGATTTTAAATATTCCTTTATTTAATCATATATATTCTTAAAGAAGCTAAGGCTACATTATTTTAAACACATCAGCCCACCATTCAACATGTAGCTTGCTAAATTCATGACCAATTCAACAATATTTTATTTTTTGCTTCAATTTGTCAATATCATCATTCTCCATGGCAACCGCACACACCACCTAGACACGATAAAGACTATACCATAGTATGCTTTTGATATGAAGAGAGGAAGACAGATGAGTAAGAAGTTGAAGATTAAACACAAACAGGAACAAAATTAAACCAATGCAAGAATCTGATCAACAAAATTAAACAAAATGTGATCGATAAAAAATAAAATGAAAAACAAACGTATATGTCCCGTGTGGGTTACAGCTTTTAATATGTGTTTCTCTAATGTCTATTATAATGTCCCAACTATTGCCAAACATTAATCCTCTCTGATCCTCTCTCCTGTTTTGAGGAATACATGAGAATGACATTTCTAATAAAATTTCATAATTAACGTATGACTTGAAATGAGATTTATTTTTCAACCTCTAATTCTTTTCTTCATCAACTTGTCAATATTTGATGTTGATGGATAACTGACTTTTTTCACATCTTTCGAGGCAAGCCAATTTAAATCAACCTAGAAAACATATGCAAAAATTCAATCCCCATTATCAGACATAATTAATGAGGTAGTCCTGAATTGATTTTTTGCTTTCCTCGTAAAGCATATCTTCCTCGGATCGATCTGGTAGAAATTATTAATTGAATCCTTAATTACTTTGAACAAACTTATCCTTTTATAAAAATTACTTTTTTTTCTTAAAGAAAATCATTTTCTGGAAACTTAAGAATCATTAAGGTTTACTTGTTAGAAAATGAATGGATTGAAAAAATAAAAATAAATATAAGATAATCAAAATATAGAGGGGATACGTGAACTATATATTTATAAAGGAGGAAGGTAACTTAGTTCATGTGGGGTTGAGGGCTATGATTCATGAGATTTTTTGAGAGTATGATGATTCTCACATCTATATTATATAGTATTAAATTTTATCTAAAAGGGGAGAGTGATTTAGTTAGTTTTAATTTTTATTTTTTCAATCTATTTCAATTCCATACTTTCTAACAACCAAACAAGCTTAATTTGTTTCCCTCTTTCTGCTTTGCTCTTCGAGGACTCAATCTCTTGTCAGAACTACTTGCAGCAACATGCTCCAGATCATGATTGTCAGGGGATTGGCTAATGAGCGTTTATGCCTTTTGTAATGTTTTTGCCTCTCTGCCACTGGCTTATGGCTCTGAATTACGTTTACTCTGCATTTGCTTAATGTTATTTTCCCCTTTCCGGTCAAAAAAGAAAAGAAAAGAAAAGAAAAAAAGCTTCATTTGTTGACATCTAAAATGATTTAATATCAGACAAGAATTTTTAAAGACTAAACAATAACAATTATCAAGTAAAGTTTAAATTTTAATAGGTATTCTTTTGGTCCAAGTTCTTGTCTGAAATTAAATCATTTCAGAGAACTCCACTTAAACTCTCCATAATTTTTGCCCCCAAACCCTTATGTGCCCGCATCCGGGACCGTAGCAGGAAACTGCGCTAAGCGCTTGGCTGGCAAAAAAGTGCAAAGCGTAATCGTAGCATATTTGGGAGGGGGAAAAAAAAAATTAAAATTCCGCCTCGCCCCACCCTCATGCCTTCCTTTCAAATTTGAAGAAGTTGTCGTCCTTCCCCTACCTTTCCCTTATCTTCCCCTATCGAATTCTTCTTCTTGCTCACTTCCTCTCAGTCCATTGCTCTGACCACTTTCCTCTCTTCTCTGAAGGCCCTTATGGCTCTTTCCGGCGTCACAAGTCACAACAACATGAACGTTTCGAGGGGGTTCTCTCTCTCCCAGCCTACCCGTGAAGGGATCCACCGTCTCAAGTTGGCAATATCCTCTGCTAATTTCTCGATACCCTCCGAGTTGAACGATCTGTCAAGAGCAGTCAAAGGCAAAACAATCTCCATCATTCTCCCCATAAATACTCGAACCACTGTTGCATTCCAAATACTTAGGAATCTCAGTGCCAATGTGAGCTTCTGTCCCGCCGTCGGAGCTTCAATGGACGTCGGATTCGACGTCGACGTCGGCCCAGTGGGAGTGAGAGTAGGTATGGCGAGGGACGAGATTCCCATCTTCGCTGAAATTAACAAGACTTACGAGCAACACTTACGCTTTATAGTGGAAGTGATGAAATTTCAGGGTCCTGGAGGTGGGCCAGCGATGATTATTGGTGAAACTCAAGATGCTGAGCTTTTAATCCGTGAGGGTCTTAAAGCGGAAGACATGTATGACAAGACAAGAACCTTACCAGACCCTTCCTCAGCTGACAATGTCAAGTCCGGGATTGTTCTGAGCATAATAAAGGATGTTTTGCAGACCGATCCTAAATTTTTCAGCAGGATAAGTGACAGTCACCCTGAATGATTGCGGCAGATTCCGATTCATTTTTCCTGTCGGCAGTGTTAGCCAGCAAGGAGTCGTCCTCAGGTGGTCACAATGACCTGACCACTACTGTCACAGACCCCGAGGTAATTGACAAGTGAGAATTCAAATTATTAGGGTTTTCTGTAGTCGTTCTTCTGTGTTTTGTTTCCGACATGCGAGATTTTATCAGATGGCTTTTGTAGTTGTCGTATTACCAGTTAGTTCTTCTCATATGTTCTGGTCATTGCGTTTTTCCTTCTTCTCTCGATCTTCTGATAGGAATCGTTCCTTCTGCACATGATTCTCCAGACAACCTCCATAACTAGAAATTCTCATCCGACATGATGTCCATTTTCCTCATAATAAAGCTCTCTCAGATAAATCATTTTGATCTGTTGACAGGTCCCTACGTTGAACAGTTATCGCTACGCTTTTCCTCATGTACTTTTTGAAGCCGTCAATGGGGTCGTTGCTGGGAAGAAATTTATGGTGTGGGCCTATGGAGATGGCGGCAAAAGGTGCACTCATGCGCTGATGCAAGCAGGAGCTGACGTGGCAGTATATGAGGATGGCCACGTTCACTGGAGACCGGAGGGACCTGTCCTGAAGCTTGAGGAGGCCTTGCCTAAGATCGACGTCTTTATTTATACCGCTCGTGATGACAAGGATAATAAGATCATGTTTGACCATGTGAGAAACATGAAAAAGCTTGTTGTTCTTGTCAACATAGAGGGCTCAGATAAAGGGTTTGACATGGAAGGAGTTTTGAGTTGTCCTGGCGTAGTGGGCCGCGAAACCATGACGAGTGGGATTGACATACTTGACTTCCCTCGTAATGAAAGAAGAGTAATCGTGGTAGGTCAGGGAAATCCCATGAAAATGGCTTGGGTACCCCAACACTCTATTTTTGATTCCCTTTTTGATGCTGAGGCTTTCCTTTCTTTTGCGGGCTTCACAGCCGGGTCGACCCGAGAACAGGCAGCTGTTAGTTCAACTGGTGGAGTCGACACAACCCTTGCTCCAGCGGCTGATAATGATGATGAGAGGGAATGGCTCTTGGTTCCTTGGCTGATAATATAGCGTTAATATGGCAGCTTTATTTGCTGGTCGCTGGGTTTTTCTTTTGGTTTTTGGAATAATGTCAATAGTAAATAGATGAAATGGGTCGGGCTATCTGGTATAGAGTTCAACTTTAATTTTTGTCATCGATCTTTAATCTTCTTTATTATTTTGTGTTAAAAGGGGATCGGAGAAGAATTTAATTTGATTATGTTGGCTTAATTTTGTATTTTGATTTCATGGGAATGGACTGTTGATTATTACAAACAAGTTGACTGTTAGATCATGTTCACGTAGTTCAATTTAATATGCATGATGAGGCCGAAATAGGAAGGTCATGATGTCGCAATTGTTGACTTCAAAATTTAGTGGTGTAGAGTAAGGTATATAGACTATAGAATGACAAGTAATTAATTTGTTAATTTGTTAATTAATTAAGGCACCAAATGTAACACCCTCAAATTTACAAACTGATTTTTTGCAAATTATTAATTCAACAAATTATTTTTTTTTTCATTGACCCTTATCATGGTAGAAAAATTTCTACCATAATACATCCAAGACAATATACCACAGGTCTTAAAATATCTCAAAAAGCAATTAGAACCATGAGGGACAGACATGATCCTCATAGCATGTTATTTAAATCAGGTCATGAATCAAAAGGGACAGACATAATCCTCTTGGACATATAAATGCATTTAATAAAAAGGATTAGAGTTTACATGCTCCATAAAGAAGATATGTCCTAAGTTGGCACAAGATACATTGTATAATCTAAAATAAGAGGCAACGTAAAAGATGGTGTCTCATACACCATAGCTACACCTCTGGTGCTTTCTCGGCCGGACTCGCTCCTGTAAAAATATTAACCACGGGGAATGAGACTTAAAAGTCCCAGTAACCAAAAATTAATATGTAGTGATGCATGCGGATGTAACTAATCATGCGATTGCTAAGTGGGCACACAAAACATTTAACCGAACAATACTTTCAAACAAACCGAACAAGTATTTAATTTGCATGACTGCACCTTATATCCTCCTTTCGCCATGCTCGGACGCCAAATCACCCGGCCAAAGGTGAGTTGGACCAAGCGACACGCCACTCATTGGGTCCAATGAGGGCTTACCACGTGGTAATAATTAACCGAACAGAAATTCTCATTAACACCATACATTAAAATACCCTGACAAGTCATGCATCATTCAAATATCCAAACAAAATATATCCGAACAATAATATCTCATCATGATAAACAAAAATAAATTTTTAACCCACTTGGCAATGATTTCACGGAAGTATATAACAGTATTTATTTTCAATAATTCATAATTTTTCCAAACAACAAAACAACGCATAACCATTCACAAACACACCCATCACAACACATTAATAATGGTTACCTTGTGTCTTGAATAACAAGTTCCCCTTCACAACTCCTTTTTCACCACTATCTTTGTCAATATAATCTACATAATTATTTCACAATACTATATATTAATTTTACATTAAAATAAATAACTCTAATTTAAATAGTTAGAAAGTCTTAGATCTATAATCCATATTAACACTAATTTAAGATTTATGCCTCATTTAACTTTCTAAATTCTTTTCTAAAATTCTCGTACCCTAATAAACTATTTTTTTTATCCTCAAATCACTTCTAGTATCACAATTTCATCCTTCTATATTCTAAAAATTCGTCCAAAAATAAATTAAATTTTAAAATTATCCTGAAGCCTCAAATCACCTTTCTATAACCTCAAAAATACCTATTCATACTTAAATAAATATTTAATAATCATAAGTTTATCCCTACATCTCAGATTCCACATAAATTCAATCATATAGATCTAGATTTTAACTCAAAAATTCTTAAACATGAGTTTCAACCTCAAGAAAATATTCTATAATATTTATTATATCCCTAAGAGTTTTAACCTATATTTTTAATCCATCATATCATCAGATTAACTATCCTATAGAAAAATTCTAATAAAATATTTACTCTATCCTACAAAAATAATCATCACTAGAAAGCTAATATTATTTAGAAAATAACTATAAAATTAATTTTGTAATTAAATAAATTTTTAAATGCTAATCTAAACAGGAAATTTAGAACATACCTGAAGAAAAAGAAAATAATCCCCCCTTGCGAGAAAACGCCGAGCAACGTGAGAGGAAGAGAGAAAAATAATATAAAAATGGGATTGTGGTCCCAAAATTATATTAAAAAAAACTATAGGTTCGAATTTAATTATTCAAACCTTTGGGCCAAAAGTTGCAATTTCCTCTAAATTGCATCTTAGCCTCTCATGCTTCCTAATGCACACACCCCCTCCTTTTTATACATGAAGGCACCTCTTCTCTTCCCTCATCTAACCAATGTGGGACTTAGAAACAACAACCTTCCACCCCCCTTTTTTTTTGTTCCTTCTACCTTCTCTTTTTTTTAACACACAAAAAAAATTTATTTATGCATTATATCTTAACTAAATATTGCTTATGTGATTTTAAATTTAAATTTTTAAATTTATAATTAAATACCTAACCATAATATATTTCTAAATAACCTCAAATAATATAAATTCCTATTATTATCATTTTTTTTCCTCAAAACCTAAATTCCATAATTTCTTTATTATATAAAAATCAGGATGTTACAATTCTCCCCTCCTTTTAGAATTTTGTCCTCAAAATTTAATGCTGGTAAGCTTAGAAACTATGTACCTAAGCAAATAAATGTGGATAATCTCGCCTCATACTCTCCTCGGTTTCCCAAGTAGCATCACTTAGGGCTCCACCCTTCCAAATCACCTTCACGAGTCGGATGGTCTTATTGCGCAGTTGTTTGTCCTTAAAGTCCTCAATTCGCTCCGGTTCGGATCTAAAGGTCAAATTCTCCCTCAATTCCACTTCTTCAAGTTCAATAACATGGGAGGGATCCGGGTTGTACTTCTTTAACTGTGATACGTGGAACACATTATGGATACCTACAATCTGTGGAGGTAATGCAACTCTATATGCAGCAGATCCAATTCGCTCCAAGATCTCATACGGGCCCACAAATCTAGGTGTCAACTTTTTTGCCTTAATGGATCTACCAATGCCTGTCACTGGAGAAACCTTTAAAAATACATGATCTCCTACTTCAAACTCTAACGGTCGTCTCCTTTTATCAATATAGCTCTTCTGTCGGCTCTGAGCTGTTAGCAATTTTTGCTTAATCATTGCAATCTTCTGGGTGGTCTGCTCTACAATTTTTGGACCAATGATACTCCTCTCTCTTAATTCTGTCCAACACAAAGGCGATCTACACTTCCTTCCATACAAGGCCTCATAAGGCGCCATCCCAATACTAGAATGATAGCTGTTATTATAAGCAAATTCAGCTAATGGCAAATGATTATCCCAACTACCTGGTAGTTCAATGGCACAAGCTCTCAACATGTCCTCCAAAGTCTGGATCGTCCTCTCTGTTTGTCCATCTGTTTGGGGGTGGTATGCGGTGCTAAAACTCAGTCTGGTACCCATAGCCTTCTGTAGCGCACCCCAAAAGTTTGAAGTGAACCTTGGGTCACGATCTGACACAATTCTAGAGGATATACCATGAAGTCTAACTATCTCCTTAATGTATATCTCAGCAAATTTCTCTAATGTAGAGGTAAACTTGATCGCCAAAAAGTGAGCCGATTTGGTGAGTCGGTCTACTATCACCCAAATAGCATCCTTACTCGAGGGTGTTCTTGGCAGTCTAGTGATGAAATCCATGGAAATATCATCCCATTTCCACTTTGAATATCTAACGGTTGCAGTGTTCCAGCTGGCTTTTGATGTTCTATCTTTATCTTCTGACACGTTAAACATCTAGAAACAAATTCAGTTACATCTTTCTTCATTCCTGGCCACCACCAACCTCGCTTCAAATCATGGTACATTTTAGTTATACCGGGATGAATTGTATATTTGCTCCTATGAGCTTCTTCTAAAAGGATATTCCTCAATCTTGGATCATTAGGTACACAAACTCTACCTTTATACCTCATCACTGTGTCCTCAGAGATGGTAAAATTTGGGGCCTTACCTACCACTATCTCCTTCCTTATATTCCTTAAGTAGTCATCACTCTGCTGTGAGACTTTGAGATCTTCCCAGAATTTGCTCTCAAAGTCTGCTACTTGGAGTGCGGCCATTTGATGTTCAATCACATCTACTGGAACATCATGAAAACTGTTCCACAAATGATATTCATGAACCATCAAATGTGCAGCATGAATAGTCTTTCTACTTAAGGCGTCAGCTACCACGTTAGCCTTACCCAGATGGTAATGTAATTCAAAGTCATAATCCTTCAGAAATTCCATCCATCGTCGCTGCCTCATATTAAACTCTTTTTGATCAAATAAATACTTCAGGCTCTTATGGTCACTGAAGATTTGAAACTTAGATCCATACAAGTAGTGTCTCCATATCTTCAGAGCAAACACAACTGCAGCTAACTCCAAATCATGAGTAGGGTAATTTTCCTCGTGTGGTCTCAACTGTCTGGAGGAATAGGCAACCACTCGGTCATTTTGCATCAAAACACATCCTAAACCCTTTAAAGAAACATCAGTGTACAGAGTGTACGGCACCACAGGGTCAAGAATAGTCAATACCAGAGTAGTGGTTAACCTCTTTTTCAATTCTTGGAAAGCAGCTTCACATTTTTCAGTCCAAATAAATGGGGCATCCTTTTTAGTCAGCTTAGTCAAGGGCATCACAATTTGCGAAAATCCCTTAATAAAGCGACGATAATAACCTGCTAAACCTAGAAAGCTTCGTATCTCTGTCACAGATTTTGGCTGTTCCCACTTCATCACTGCATCAATCTTGCTAGGATCCACCGCAACTCCATCTCTGGACACAACATGGCCCAAAAACTTTACTTCTTGGAGCCAAAATTCACACTTGCTTAATTTGGCATAAAGCTTATTTTCCCTCAAAACTTGCAAGACAATTCTTAAATGCTCACCATGAGCCTCCTCATCCTTTGAATAAATAAGAATGTCATCAATAAACACTACTACAAACTTATCTAAATAGGGTCGAAAGATCCTATTCATGTAATCCATGAATACTGTAGGAGCATTCGTAAGTCCAAATGACATCACCATGAATTCATAATGCCCATATCTCGTTCGAAATGCTGTCTTAGGTATATCCTCCGCTCTTACTCTCAATTGGTGGTACCCTAACCTTAAGTAAATCTTTGAGAAAACTGCAGATCCCACAAGTTGATCCAGCAAATCATCGATTCTCAGAAGTGGATATTTGTTCTTGATGGTTATTTGTTCAATTGTCTATAATCAATCCACAATCGGAGGCTTCCGTCCTTCTTCTTTACAAAAAGGACTGGAGATCCCCAAGGTGAAACACTCGGTCTGATGAAACCCTTCTCAAGTAGCTCTTCAATTTGCTTTTTCAGTTTTGCTAACTCTGAAGGGGACATCTGATAAGGAGCCTTAGAAATTGGCCCTGTACCAGGTACCAATTCAATTGAGAACTACTCTACCTCGCTTTGGGGGTAAATTGAAGACTTCGTCTAGAAATACATCCGCAAATTCTTTGACAATTGGGATATTCTTCACACCTTCATCAATCTCAGCTTGGATAGAGAAGAAACCATGTAGGCCTGGCAACCCTTCTTCATATATCTATCAACTTGCGCCGCCGACAAGAAAACATGATCTTGAGTCTCGACTGGAGTCACTGACAAAGAAGATAAAGACACACTCCTCTCTCTACAATCTAGGATAGCACCATTTGCAACCATCCAATTCATTCCCACAATTACATCCATACCTCTCAGTGGTAGGATAATTAAGTCCATAGTTGTTTTTCCTATTTTTAAACTCGACCACTAGGTTAAGGCATGCCTTAGCAGTCCTCACAGATTCTCCCGCAAGAGTAGACACATTCATATCAAAAGGTAAAATACACACAGGCAAATCAAGGTTCTTTACACAAGTTTCAGAAATAAAAGAGTGTGGAGCACCTGAATCAAATAGTGCAACAATATCATGATGAAGGATTTTGATGTTACCTCTAATGGCATCTGGGGAGTTCATGGTGTCCTGAGTAAGAGCAAACACACGGCCAGAGACAGTAGGATGTTGGGAAGGGTTCTTCATATTTGAGCCCTGGTTGTCCCCACAAAACTTTGCAATGTGACCGGGTTTCCCACAAATGTAACAGACCCAGCACTGTCCGAAATGACGACGCCCGCATTTAGTGCACTGTTGAGAGCTCGCTGTACTCGGGGCAGGGGTAGATACTGTTGGGCTCATCTATGACCCATGATAACTACTATGATAGCTCCTCTGTCCCTGGCCCCTTTGAAATGGACCCTTCTGCCTTCCTTGGTTCCATGAGCTACTCGAACCCTGATGGTTTTTCTTCATAATGCCTCCGTGGGTCGAGGGTAGGTTGGGGGTCTACTATATGAATAACCCCTCTTCTCTCTCTCGACCTCCTTCTTACTGCGAGCTACTACTTGTAGTTTTATGCACATTTCGTCATAATCTCGGATATCTAGATGAGCCAATTGCTCCCTCAATTCTGGTCTAGCCTTCTCCAATAAGCGCTTGGCCTTCCATTCAGAATCATCCCTATACTGCAGGTACGTGGAGTATCTAGATAACTCCTGAAACTTAGCAATGAATGTGTCCTCATCGAGGTTCCCTTGCTTAAAGGCATGGAACTCCGCTTCCTTCTCAGACCTTAACTCTGATGGGAAGTAATGCCTAAATAATTTTTCCTTGAATTCCTCCCAGGTGAGTGTAGAATCATCCCTGGGCCCTGCTGTCTCCCACCAATCTCTTGCTCCTTTCACTATAAGCACTAATGCTACTTGTACTCTCTGATTGCTGGTGCATGTGACTACTCAAAAGATGGATTCGAGTCTCTTCACACATTCCTCTACCACGGATGGTTTAAGGTTACCATCAAACGTAGGAGGGTTAAACTTCCTAACAGTTTTCCACACATCAGTAATGGTCGGTGGGGCTCTCTGTTCCTCCTGCCTAATTTCCTCCCTTCTAGACTCATGATCTCTCAGAGTGGCAGGATGTGAGGAACTGCCTTCCCCCACATGACTCTTAACATGAGCCCTATCCCCATTTTCATTACCTTTTGCCTTTTTAGCTCCGTCAACTCTTGTTCGTATCCTTGAACCTTGTCTGTTAATGTTTTTACAAGCATTCTCAATTCCGCCAAGTCAGGCTCCTCATTTGGCAATGGCGGTGGTAGGTGCTCATGTTGG